CGAATGTATCATAACGAATCTGGCGGGCATGGGAGCAGCCGGAGTTAAGCCGCACTGCTCGGCACCATCCCAAACCCTTAGCTCCCTCGTCACAGCGCCCGTCGTGAGAGGCGACAAGATAGCCCGGGGCCGAGAGCCGTGGGCTCTACCGCGGCCTCGCCGCCGCCCGCGAGGCGGCTGGCGTGGCCGAGTCCCGCTGGAAGGAGTCGGAGTCTCGCCTTGCGGCCGCCGAGGGCGAGGCCCTCCGGCGCGCCGGCGAGCTGGCGGCGGCGGCGGAGGCGGCTGGGGCTAAGGCGGCCACCGAGGTTGCGGAGAAGGCGGAGGAGGTGCTCCGGCTGATCGGTGAGGCGAGGGAGGCGAGGGAGGAGGCGGCCCGGGCCGCGGGGGAGGCGGAGGGGCTGAGCGGGGAGGTGGCGGCGGTGAGGGCGGAGCTGGCGGAGGTCTCCGGGGAGCTTAGGGCTGAGAGGGCTGCTAGGCTTGAGGAGGTGGGCGGGGCGGAGCGTGTTTTGTTGTGGGCATTGGTGTCGTTGGGTTTGTCTCTCTTTCTCTCTCTCTTTTATTGCTGCCTGCGGCGGTGCGGCTGCCAAGCGGAACGTCAATCGCCCGTGGTAGCCGTGGAAATCTAGTTGGAGTGACGGAGGAATTCCGAATCTTTCATTCCATTCCCTTCTCGAAACGGGAGCGATTTTTTGTGATAGCCCGCATGAAGAGTGCTGCTCACATGAACCTTCCCTTTTACCGCACACCAGGAGAGGAAGTTCGGCGGAGAGCTAGAGGCGGCACGGGCAGAGGCGAAGGGTTTGCAGGAGAGGGTGGATGGCCTGGAGGTCACGAGGAAGGGGACGGAGGAAGAGTTGGAGGCCGCGAGGGAGGCGCTGAGAGCTGCGCAGCAAGCCTCGGGCTCGGAGATGGACCGCCTGAGGTGATGCTTGCTTTGTTTCCCTGTTCGATTCTTGTGGTTGTGGATATGCGCGTTTTGGGTAGGTGTGTATGATTTTTTCGGAGTGACTGCCTGTTCAAATCCGAATACATTCCACCCCCCCTCCCCCCGTTCCCAGCCGAGATGCCTAGACGAGAGTTTGTTTCGTTGTTACTTTTTTTTCTTGTTGCCGCTATCTTGCAGCATCCGGTGTTCTGTCGATTCCCTCTCTGGCTTATCCTTGTTTAGCGCCGTGACGCGTTTCTCAAATCCGAGTGGACATGATCGACACACAGAATCTTAGTCTTTACTCCCGTTCCCCGCGCGTGCCTGCGCCGCTGTCAGGGATGAGCTGCAGTCCAAGACGACGGAGGTGGAAGCTCTCGCGGAGAAGAACGCGGCTGCCTCTGGCGAGTCGGAGAAGGAGTTCAACCGCCTACGGGAGGAAGCGGAGGCGGAACGATCGCAGGCCGAGCGTGCGCTGTCCGCTAAGGAGGAGGAGACGGCCGCTCTCGAATCCAGGTACTCACTTCTTTGTCTTCCTCATCAATGTATGGACACTCGTCTCCGTGAAAAGTGTCTAAATCGCGGCAAGATTTCCAAAATTTTCCATACAAACACAGACGGACCCTACCCGTTCGGGATGATTCCGCAGTCTAACGGGATGTGTTGAAGTTGTTTGCAGTGGGTGGCGGAGAAGAACGTGTCCTTTTAGGTACGCCCTCCGCATTTGTGTGCATTCTGCAAGTCACCGTGCTTCTGGAAATCTGGTATCCTATTGCAATGAGAATTGTCCTTGAAGCGGGGACGAGTGTACACTTGTCAATGGCGCACCAACGCCCAACCGGGCCTGGAAAACAGAATATCAGTGTTTTCGTCGGTGGATAGATTCGTTTTTCGAACGGTGGTGAGAATGGCAGCGCACCAGGACGTAACGGTGCTTGTACTTGACCCAACGCAGGGTTGTATTGATGTCCTATTCCTAGGCGCCAGAGTGGGCTCGGCATCGCTAATATGGACGGTATACGGGTCGAATCGAAACCACTTATGGGTCGTTGGTTGTGGGTGACCTTCCGAGCGGGCTTCAATGTTCACAAGCACCCACCCGCCTGTTGCCCCAACGCCGGCCGTGAATTTCCGCGTGTACGTACCGTGTGCGCGAACAGTCTGCGCAAGCTCGAGGCGGAACAAGCCGCTCAGGCGAAGGGGCTCGAGCGCGCTACTTCCCTGAGGGATGAGGCGGTGGAGAGGGCGAGCGGCCTGGAGGCCGAGCTGGAAGCGGCGTCGTCTCAGGTGATTGGCTGACCCAGGCGGCGGAATTGTTGTCGTTTCGGACAAGGGGAGTTGGTTTCATGGTTGATGTTGTTGTCCCTGTTGGGTAATGGATGGGGTGACCAGGAGCGGGGGGTTGAGCTGGTTGTCGGTTTGTAGCTCGGTATGGACTGGTAGGGAAACGAAAGCGGTCGACCCTTCCTTCGTGTGTATGTGTGGCTGGTGCCATCTTGTTTATTTGCGGAACTTACTTTAATCATTGATCGAAGCTCCTGTCGTGTCATTAATAACTTTTGCTCGACCCCTTCGCTTCTTAACCCTTTTGTTGTTGTTGTTGTTGTTGTTGTTGGTGGTGGTGGTGGTGGTGGTGGTGGTGGTGAAAATAGCTCGTGGCGTGCGAGACCAATTTTGGAGAGAAGGAAGAAGAGCTCTCGGGCTTTGAAGC